AGAGAATATTAACAAATCAGTTAGATCTGGCCACGATTAGAAGACTCGATGAGCTGGACTCTGAATATAAATGGAACTTACGATCGTCAAATCGTGTCGCTGGTGGTATGTAAAGGACCAGTTTTATCAAAGGGTTAATCAAACATAGAATAGTTTTCTTAAGTTTTGTATATTACTTCAAATTCAATGTTGTAGATATTGTACCTAATGAAAGTTAACTCTGCCTTCTCTTCATAAACCGATAAATTGATGTAAAAAAATATGTTGAAAATTAAGAAATGTAAGAGTTAAGCTTCGCCGGTGGAATAGTTTCCTTCATTTGTAGAGTTTCGCTATCTTTTTTACTGGCTCTGGAAAAATGGATAAAACACTAATCGCAACAAGAGATTTATTTTACTTTAATTTCCTCGAGATAGTTTTCAAAAATCTGTGTGATCAGTTGAAAATTAGAAGAATGGATCAGCTGGGCACTAAAACTAAGCGGGGTTTACGATCCTCAAAATGTGTCCGTGGCCATCAACGAGACGAGTTTACCTTGTTAGATTCAATCTGGTAAAATATGCGTCTCTGATACGTTAACTCTACCCTCAGACACTGTCCGTGAAACAGTAATTTGATGTTAGATAAACTGATGAAATAAAATATCCATGGTTAACCAGAAGAAAAATTTACTTCGCTCATTTGCAAACAAAATGGATAGTTACCTAGTAAAAATAGACAACCTAGTAGACAACAAGGCCAGTAAGCAGTCGTATTTTACGATTCTCTTCATGAGGCAAATTAAATTCTTCGTATATATCAAAGTTCTGAGCAAAGTTCAGACTTTGACGAGAATTAAGTGAAGGTTGTCTGCTTGAACTTTGCACTGATAAAGTGATGTAATTACAATTGCTTTGTGTAACCAGATAAATCACACTTTTGAGCTGAGTTGAGGACTGCATTTTTCTAACTATTTTTCCGAAAATTTTATGTGCCAGGAAAAATTTAGTTTTGTCATTTGTCAAAATATCTAATTGTTAATTGATATAACAATTCCGGAAAACACTTAATTACGGACTATACACCAGAGTCCGGAAGAAACTTAATTAAATTAACAGATTCCAAAAGAGTCCATGACACCTAAAAAAGTAACGCCTCTAGGAAAATTGTTAGCCAACCATTTTTAGCATTCATGCAGCAAAACTTTGCAGCATTTTCCATAAATCATAAGCAAAGCGTTGCGAACTAGTCGATACAATACTAGCAGGAAGTCAAAAATCATTCATTTAGAGGCACATGTCGTTAAGGCAACCTACCTAAGCATTAAGAAAATTTGCAACTCGAATGTTCTATGTTCCTTTTAGAGTAGCTAGCCAACAAACCACGCAACATGAAGTATTATGACAATATAAAAAATGCAGCAACCTTTTCAACCGAATAAAATTTTAATGAAAACGTTCCAAACAAAAACCAGAAAACGGCCAGAAGCAGCTAAAAGTGAAAAAAGTAACAGATAGAAATAAGTCTCGAATTATCAAAACTTCTATTATAAGTCGGATTCGAAGCTGGAACCTCGAGATTTGGGTTCTCACAATTTTACATCAGCGCCACGGGCCATTGCGTATTTGAGAAAACCAGCCAACGAATGAGGCTACTATAGATGCTAATATTTTCGCAATGCTATGTAGTGTTAACTGCGGCATTGAACATCCTATAAGTAGCTTAGAAATCTTACGTCCTTCTCTTTGTCGTCCTTCCATCACGCTCGCTGGACTAACGGCAATCACTAACCAAAAATAAAGCAGAAAACAGATGTAATGGTATTTTCAATAATGCAGATCGTGAAAAAATGCCAAAAGAGAACTTTTATTTGCGAGTTAGCTCGGAAAAACTAAATTCATACTAAAACATTAGGTTCGCTAACTTCTCGTATGTAAAAAAAATGGTTCGATGTAAAATCGGATTTCATAATCATACTACCCGAAAAAACTGCGGAAAAATAGGTAATTAAAATGCAAATATGCTGTGTACTAAGCTTTCTGTTGTACTAAGCTTTCGGCAGAGGTCTCCATGAAACGTCCAAGTGCCCGAAAACGATTTTGAAAAATGTGCTTGAAATGTCTTTTTAGTGTTCAAGTAGAATAAATACTCCAGCCAAAAAACATTTACCCAGCATCATCTGCAAACTTAGTTCATTTACTCCATTGGTTGGAAATGCAAAATAAATATTCGTAAACCTGGCCGTACAAAAAAAACGCGTGTGTAGATATATTAAAAAGAATTAAATTCAGGCTAAGTGCTCATTTGTTATTTGGTCCCAATGTATCCTATCTCTGCCTATTACTGCTTGCTTTTAAAGCATAGCGTTTTTAAGTAAAAGTTGTTCAGTGCTACTTTGCAATTCTTGCATATAATAAAATGTCTTAATAATACCACCGAAATTTTATCACATCATATTCTTTCTCTACTGCTTAACTATTAGGGTTTTTTTCTTATCGCACATATTTTCACAATCAATACCAGCAATTAAGCCAATACAGGTACGTAATCACCCTTCATTTTGCATTTTGCAAACCTTCTGACGGCGCACCGTGTTTGCTACTGATTTCGTCACTGTTGATGCTGCAATCGTTTTGACTGATCAAATTGGGGAGGTTTTTTCTGAGATTGGTTTTGAGGTGATCGGATTCGTTGGTTGTTTTCGGAGTCAAAAGGTTATGTCCTGATGCTTCCTTTGCCAAATGATTACTTTTCGGTTGGTTCCTGTGCATCTTTGGTTGCAATGCGTAGGCAAACGTTTCGACAATCACCGCTTGAAATCGTACACATTTTCTAATTAAATATGAAGTTGCTCTGGTTTCAAACTACCTTGTCATATGTCATGAACTTTTGACGCTCGATTATAATGATACTAGTGCTCAATCAATATAGGCTTCGAAAAATCTGCTAGACTTGGGAACGAAACCATTTAGAATACAGGAGTGTGATGCTTTGTGTTGGGTTGAGTTGTATCGGGTGACTTTCTCCATCAACATTTTTTTCTTTACCCATAAATGAAATTTTATGCGTGAAGTTATTTATTCAGCACATCGTGAGGTATGTATTGGTTACTATACTCATAGAGCAATTTCAAATGAGGTACACCGTCTGCTCGTCACGCTATCGTATTTTCGGCCGGATAGATTCGTGCAAGTTCTTAGTCTAATACCAATCTTAATCGTACTCTTATATCTCCTAGTCTCAATAGATCTAGTGTACACCGGTTTACGCGAGTTAGTTCCAGTATGATAACAACTGCAATCTAAGTTTAAATCAAATTGTTCTGGTGTTGAAACTACAAGTAGTTTCAATACTTACAAATTAGTGGGTTGTTAGTTTGATGGAGTATGATTGGTTAGTATTCAATATTTTATAGGGATAAATAATATTTTTATAAAATAAATAAGAATTATAGGGATAAATAGGGATCATAAAAATAACCAATGATAAATACTAGTTTAGATCTGGTTCCACCCATCCGGGGTTTAGAGAATTTTAGTTTTTTAATGTTTTAGTGTAGTGAAGGATGGATGATGGTGTTTTTCTTTAGAGGTTGCGAGCATATTCATTTTTTCTGGTTTGAAAGAAGAGGTGTTGTCACGATAGTTTCGGGAGATTGTATTATGATTTCTGATCGGTTGTGATATGTGTTGATCTGGTTGATTTTAGAGAATAGCAATGGTCCAATCTCGTTCGGGAGTGGCATGTAGTTTGACTTTGGATGCAGTGCCTGGTGACTTGGATCTATACGTATACTTGAACATCTAGATGACCATTTGTTGGTTGCAATTGGTTTCCTTTGCTGCGATGCCAAGTCGTACTCTAAATCCGTTGGGTGTAGTAACTGTAGGTAGCATGTCAGGTGTGTCTCGCCATTCCGTAGTTGGAGTGTGATTGGGTTGTCAAGTTCCTTGTTGCTCGTCTTTGGGCTGTATATTATCTATATACTGCATTGTATTATTTACATAAATAAATTTTTGTTAACCTTGTTTTTAGTCATGATATTGTATTAGTTTTTATTGCAAAAGCATTATTATTTAGTTCGGTTATTTTTCAGAGCTACTCACAATTGAGTAACTCTCGTCAAAATTAGGGTCGCGGGTGTCATAAAGCGTGGATGTAGCACGGTGGATGGGGACGGCTATAGAGCATGCTCAGGACGTCCTTTCTGGTGGGTTAAGTCAGGAGTGAGGGTATAAACTCATGCTCTTTTTTGGAGGGTCCTGTTTTAGTTCAATTTTTTCGTGCCTTTTTTATTACTGGTTTTTTCTTTTGTTGTCCTAGTTGTGTCTTTTTCTCAAAAATCAAACTGTTTGTTTTGGATTGTCTTTTGACATTTTGATGTTTTGTTCTTTTGTGTTCAGACTTAAAAGTAGTTTTTAAGAGAATAATTTATCCAGTTCTAAGCTGGTGCTAATCCAGTTTGGGTACCGTGGGTTTTCTTTTCTTAGTCGTGCTGTTAGGTTGTGGTTTATGGTATTTAGTAAGTTTGCGTTGGTTAGTTTGGATTATTAAATAATTCCTCTCCAACCGGGTTAAAGGAAAATTTGAAACGTGTTAAATTTGTTAGAGTTGTTATCAGTGAAAGTTGAAACTCAAACTCATTATTTTAAACAATTTTTTTTGTGGGCGAGCAATGCAAATTTGGATAGAATATTTAGGCAAGAGAATAGAAAGAAGCGTCTTTGAAAACGTTAGTACTGCTTTTGCAATTTATGAACAATTTTTATTAATTTATTACTTTGAATTTATGAAGTTTACTGCCTGATTTGGGGTTTTAAATTATTAATATATTTTCATTTGTAAGAATATTAACTGCATGGATAAAAATTATAAATCAATTTATTGCTCTGTACGGGAGAATTTTACTGCTTCAATTATCGAAATTGGTTAATGAAATTTATGAATCTATTTTAAGCTTTTTTTTTGCTTTTTTGTTTTGTAGATGATTGATGATTAGGGCCCATGAAAAAAAAGAAAACATTTAATAAGAATGGTTAGTTTTTCGTCGAATTTGTTAGTAAAGTATTTATTTCATATTACGTAATTGTCGGTGAAGAATCCATGGGCGAAAACGTCGTGGAACAAATGGATGATACATTTAGTCTGAAGAAGTGGCCAAAGCAATTCGAGTGCTTTAAGGATGTTGTGTTCTTCAGTGCTAGGTTAGAGTGAGTTCATACAGTTGTTTTGAATAAGGTTATGTAGTTTATGATTATAGCGAATGTTGTGTACGAATTCTAGGATAGGGATCTCAACGGGCTGGAAGAAGTCGTGAGGGACGATTAGTGGTCGGGCTTCGTCTACGTTGAGGAGTTTAGTAAGGGGACAGAATATATACATCTGGGTGATAGGATCGAAACTTTGGAGGATGCCTTGTAGGTTAGTGTCTTTGTTACAATAGGTGAAATTAAAAAAAAAACGGGGAGGTGTTTTTATAGTTGATGTTTTGATATCTATGGTGACGATTTCGTGTTGATGTATTAAGAGTGTAGTGGTGTTGGATAAACTGGTAGTAAGTGTACGTATGTGTTTGTTTAGTTCGTAAAATGACGTCGTGTGTACAGTGCAAATCACGTTCTTTGGGTGTGAGGAAAAGAAAGGTTAGTGAAAAGTGTTTAAATTTGTTAAAGTAAGCGTAAATATTTGGTTCATAAGCGTAAATATCACGGAGTGCTGTTGAAATGACGTTGTCTTATTTCTTATCTAAGGTGTTGAGGGTGAAAAAAAATGGAGTTTTTCTGATTTGATCTAGGTTTAATTTTTATGATTTGATCAAGGTTTACATCTTCATAAGAAATTGATTCAATAAAACATTACTGGTGAAATTTTATTATTCTAGCGTGTATTTTTGCCACTTGAAACGTGGTACAACTATCTTCAGGGATCCAAACAATTGTGTGCAATGTTCTTGGTCGTTTTACAGGGGGGGTCTGATTCCTTGATAAACTATAGTGTCATATTTTAAATCTCGTGTTAGTTGTACTTTTTCAAGTTGTATTTTCCAATCAAAAAACATTATTTCTTGGTATCCTTTATTTTTAGTGTCGGCTTTACAATTTATGTTCATTTACATAATTTGGTTTGTCGTTATTGGGGTTTGAGAGAAAATAAGTGTGCTGGGGAAAAGTGTAAACATATTTGGAGAAATTCTCGCGTGTTTGTATGAAGTGAACGGTTGACAAATGTTGTGGATGTTCCTGGGTTAGAGGGAAGTGGAGTATTTGGGAATTTTCTTTTAAAGATTCGGTAAGCTCGGTTTGTACTAGATGATGGGGTTGATGGGGAAGTAGGGTTTTGCAAAGGGATATAATTTGAAGAGTGAGTTGGGGTTGATGGATTGGATGATATTATGGATAGGGAGAGTTGGTGAATGGTTAGTGTTTGAGGGTACTGTAATTGTTGTTGAAGTGTGATCAAGTTATCAAGCTCGTGAGATAGTTGTGTGTTCATAGAGCTGTTGTTATCGGATGGTTCACTGGTTAAGGTGGAATATGTGGGTGTTACCGTTGAAATGGGGGAAGGAGGAGAAGGGAGTTCTATTTTGACTTTGATTGAATAGGTTGATAGGGAGGTTAGGAAAAACGAGATGGGCTGGGTTCGGAGTTGGCAAATCCGTCCGGGGTTTCAAAATCGGATTTGTTAATTTGGGAGACAGTGTTATATACGTTGTGTTGGAATTAGTGTCTGATTCCATGCTGGATGAAGTGTTATCATGAGGTGATTGAGGTGGAGGAAAAGCAAAAAGTGGGATGATGGGGAGGTTGCTCTGGAGGTTGGCTGGATAGGAAATTGAGCGATGGAGTGCTCCAACTTGGCGGCTCATTGTGGGCTGAAAAAATGGTTGTTCTGAGAACGAAAGTTAGTGGTATGAGGTTGTTCTATAATTTGTTCGTATGTGTCATCTATGTTGGGTTGTTTTGTTATTATGTGTCGAATTGGGCTTTGTTGGAAGTTTTGTTTCGATAGGTTTGTTAGGGCTATATTTTTGAGATTTCGTGATACTAATGATAATGGATGGTTATGGTTTAGGTTTTGTAGTTGTGATGCCGTAGGTGTTGTAATAAAATTATTTTGTGAATCGTGATAACTGTTAGGTGTTGTTGATAGCTCGGTATTGTATTCGTTTATTTGAGCGTCTAGAAGTATCTTATTTATTGATGTGGAAAAAATTCCAAAAAATCCTTTAAAAAGTATGCGTGCTGCGCTTGCTTGTTTGTTTACTTGTATCTGTATTGCGCATGTGTTGTAGATTCCTTCTATAAGAGAGAAAAGAAATCCAAGAAAGTTAAACATTGCTTATAAAATAGTCAATCTTTCAAAGATGTAGTAGCGCCATCCTAGAAAGACAAAAAGTTCGTTTATCAAATTTACCAAATTAAAAACTTTCATTGGTGACATATCTTTTGGTCTGTTATTTTCGTTATTTCAGTAAATGTAATTTTTTATATCTTTAAAATATCCGCTGTAGTCTTGTGCGTATATGTCGGAAAAGCCTGCTGTTTCTGCAAGTTTGCGTAGGTTTTGATCTATAGATTGTCGTTATTTAGTGTCCATTTTTGTGAGTAATTTTTGAAACTGTTGTGTACGTATGTGATGTTGAATGTCGGATTTAGAATATATTACGTCGATCGATTGTAAATCGATATTTGGATTGCGGGCAATAGCTCTAATGCTTTCAGGTGAAAGCTTTTTTTTGTGGTTGCATAAGTGTAGGGTATGGTGTGAGAAGGTAGTATTTATCTTCTTCAGGATTTAATTTTACTACAATGTGGCTATTTTCTGAATCACATGAGACAGCTGTATTCCAAATAAAAGTTCTTCGAGAGAGTGTATCAACCAAATGTTCTTTGTTTTTGTAGAATATTGGGATTCTTTTATAGCATCTTTTGTCTTCAAAAACATAAAAAGGTGATACTTTTTTGGTACAAGTGTAATGTCATAGTATGTTTTCTTCGTAATCAATGAAATTTGATCTGTTACCTGGTAGTAAATATCCTGCGTAAGGGATTTTAAATACTGCTCGTGCAAGTGATTGCAAAACTTTTGTTCTTTCAGGTTCGCATTATTGATGTAATGTTTCAAGTTCTGTTAAAGACATTTCTTGAAAAATTCCACTTATTGTATAGTCTAATTTCATGTCTAATTGTTTGCCATAGTGAATTGCGCCAAAATGACTGCTGTTCATTAGTGACAGTTCTTGTAAAATTGTACTGTCTGCGTCTTGTGGTTTAATTTTTCTACCAAAATTTTTTGTGTTTTCAGGAGGTTTACTGGGATGTATGAATTTTCGTCACTGGTTGAGTGATGTGAAGCCATTGGTTGTTTAACTAATTTTCCTGTATTCATGTCAAAACCTTGTTCGTATTCGACAAGAATTTCCGAGTTTTGTGTTTTATAAAGTAGTTTGGTATATTTTCTGCAAGTTCTGTTTCTGGGTGAATTTGGAAGCGTGTCAATTTATTTTCTATATTATAAATGTTCTGAATTTAAAATTAGTTTTTCTGACTTGATCAGAGTTTACATCTTCATAAGGAATTGATTCAATAAAAAATTTTCGGTGAAATTTTATCATTCTAGCGTGTATTTTTGCCACTTGAAACGTGGTACAAGTGTCTTCAGGGATCCAAACAATTGTTGCTTGTGTTCTCGTGGTAGGGTCACAATGTCCTTGGTAGTTTTTACAAGGGAGTCTGATTCCTTGATATTTTATAGTGTCATAATTTAAATCTCGTGTTAGTTGTACTTTTTATAGTTTTTTTCCCAATCAAAAAACATTATTTCTTGGTATCCTTTATTTTTAGTGTCGGCTTTACAATTTAAGTTCATTTACATAATTTGGTTTTTCGTCATTGGGTTCTGAATGAAAATAAATGTACTGGGGGAAAAGGGTAAACATATTTAGAGAATTTCTCTTGTGTTAATAGGAAGTGGATGGTTGACAAAAGTCGTGGATGTTCCTGAGTTAGAGGGAAATGGAGTATGTAGGATTTTTTTCTGAAAGTTCGGTAGGCCCGGTTTGTACTAGATGATGGGGTTGATGGGGAAGTAGGGTTTTGCAAAGGGGTATAATTTGAAGAGGGAGTTGGGGTTGATGGACTGAATGATGTTATGGATTGGGAGAGTTGGTGAATGGTTAGTGTTTGAGGGTGCTGTAATTGTTGTTGAAGTGTGATGAAGTTAACAAGCTCGTGAGATAGTTGTGTGTTCATAGAGCTATTTTTATCGGATGGTTCACTGGTTAAGGGGGAAAATGTTGGTACTACCGTTGAAATGGGGGAAGGAGGAGGAGGGGGTTCTATTTTGACTTGGGAATGAATAGGTTGAAAGGGAGGTTGGGATAAAGTAGATGGGCTGGAATCGGAGTTGGTAAATTCGTCGGGGGTTTCAATATCGGAGTTGTTTAATTGAGAGATAGTGTTATATACAGTTGTGTTGGAATGAGTGTCTGATTCCATGCTGGATGAAGTGTTATCATGAGGTGATTGAGGTGGAGGTGTGGGTTGATGGGCAAAAAGTGGGACGATGGGGAGGTTGCTCTGGATGTTGGCTGGATCGGAAATTGAGCGATGGAGTACTCCAACTTGGCAGCTCATTGCGGGCTAAAAAGATGGTTGTTCTGAGAAGGCAAGTTAGTGGTATGAGTTTGTTCTATAAATTGTTCGTATGTGTCATCTATGTTGGGTTGTTTTGTTATTATGTGTCGAATTGGGCTTTGTTGGTAACTTGGTCTCGATAGGTTTGTTAGGGATATATTTTCGAGATTTCGTGAAACTAATGATAATGGATAGGTATGATTAAGGGTTGGTACTTGTGGTGCCGTAGGTGTTGTATTAGTATTATTTTTTGAATCGTGATAACTGTTTGGTAATGTTGATAGCTTGGTATTGTATTCATTTATTTGAGCGTCTAGAAGTATCTTATTTATTGATGTGGAAAATATTCCAAAAAATCCTTTAAAAAGTATGCAGGCTACGCTTGCTTGC